TTTTTTTTTATTCCATGGCAAATCCGTACCCAGCAGCACCAAATTCTGGTTAATGGGAAATATCTGCCCAAGATAAGTTAATGGAAAAGTTCCTAAACAAATAGGCAGCTTTAAAAGTGAGGTTCACCATAAAACTACCTGTAAATCGGCCAGAATCCACTCAAATGTGGGTTTTTTTGGGGGGATATGCTGGAAGTCTGAGAAGTGACTTCATCATTACGGTGAAATGATAAAATAAATACTACCAAAGTGACACATTTGGATCTTATTTTAGGCACATTACATGTCTTAGTGGCTCTATCAGGAATAGATCAGAGTTCAGTTGGTGACACCAGACTTTTCTGGCTCACTGACCCCATCTAGAGCTCTGGAGGCAAAGGTGCATTTAAAGACGACGTTTGTGGATTAAAAGGCTTCTAGTTTCAAAATTTTCTTCAGTTGAGAGGCTTTTTTCAAGTCCAAATACTAAAAACTCTTCTGTTCAGCCCGTTTCCATCTTTAGGCTTTCACATGTGGTGCATTATTTCCCTATTTCAGTGTCTCCATCAGCCCAGGTCCAGGTCCAGGACCAGGACCTTGACCAAGGCCACTGCCATAAAGTCATATTTTCTGGCTCAACATAGACGTAAAAAGCACATTTTGCCAAACTTGATCAATCCTTTAGTTGGCAAAGATTTGGATATCATAAGAAAACACAAAACATTCAGAATGCACAAATATTTTTATTCAACTCACTTAAAAAGTCCAGAAGACATTCGTCTGATGTTTACAGTGATGCTTTCATAGCAAACACTGGAAATCTGAGTAAATAAGTGCCTCGGTTGTTGACCATAAATGGCCCTGATCTCGTCTTAGTACTGAGTAAGTGCTGGAGGGAGATTTTAAAACATAAAAACCCTTTTTTTCGGCAGTCGTCCACAGAGACAGCTCACAGATACACGTCACAGTTTTCCTTCATTATTGCACAAAGGATCTTTTCACTGGATATTTCTAATAAAAACTCAAATAAGATCTGGTTCTGACTTTTGAAGTCATCGTCAGCTGTTTTGTCTACAAATGAAACATGAGAAAAAGAACACAAAGTAGTGTCCAATGTTTAAGGTGTACAGGGTTCTTCAAATAAACCTGTTTTTACCAGATTGTAACCATGAACATGTATGTCTTAAATCTAAAGAAAAGGCCTCTGAGATCACTGAAGACATGATTTTCTCTCACATCTTTGACATTTTCCAATAGAAATGAAAGGCCAACTCATAATACTGTTCAGGCGATCAGAAAAATACAAATCTTAAGACTAGTATCATTTACAGAAGGTAATAAAACATAAATAAGCGAAAGACTTATGACTAATCATGTATATGCATACAAAAAAAGCTTTACAAGGCTTTTTAAAAAAAGTCCTTCACGATTGGTCACCAGCATGCTGTTCACTGCCAGTCCACTAGGTGGCTCTGTTTCCCAACTTAAGACCCGTCAGGAGGTTCAGTCCTCTGGCATCCAAACAGCACAGGCTGGGGTTTTATTCACATAAGGCACATTGTTTGAACATGTGTCGTGGTTCCAACTGAGTCCACATCTTTTCCGTTTGAAAAGCCCTCAAAAGGACAACAATTCCAGGGACATCTGCTGGAAAATGGGCACCAACGGTTAAGAAGATCCATCTTCGGGCAGCTCTTTCAGTCTCTTTCATTTGCTTGTGTCCTTAAAACATTCTTGATAAGACCTTCATTTTTATGGCCGATACAAACAGTCACCACATCACGAGTCACACGAGAAGACTGACAACAATCTTACATGTCGCTGAAAATATGAAGCTAGCTCAGGAGGCTGCTTAGCTCTGGAAAAAGAGGAAGCTAGCTCAGGAAAAGATGAATTTCTCCTTTCCTTTTTGGATCAAATAACCTACAAACCTTCTGCCCTTAGCTTTGATTAACAGTGCAGACAGGAAAGGGAGATCTCTCCGTCTGTTTCCGAGCAGGAATCCAAATTAAACCCGTTTCCAAACGGTTCATATTTAAGGATACTCTGAATCCGGCCTCCTAGCTAGCTAGCTAGCTCTGCGTCTTTTTGGGTGGCTGCTGTGGCTTCTGCTGGCGGAGGTGGGCCTCGATCTCGCCCCTGAAGAAGAGCATCCCCAGCTGGCCGTGGGACGCCTCGTTCATGGCCTTGGACTGCATGCACATGCGGTACTGGTCGGGCGGGAGCTCGTCGGCGCAGCGTTTGGGGTGCCAGAGGTGGAAGAGGCCGCGCGCCGGCGCCCGCACCACCAGCAGCCCGCTGCGCAGGTACTTCCTGTACAGGTGCACGTCCTCGCCTCCCCAGCCTTTGATGTCGATGTCGAACCCCCCTGAGGAGCACAGAGAGAGAAGGGAACATGGCGTGATGCTCTATGCTGCAGGTAGGACTCAGGCAAAGCGGCATCCAGAACACAGTGGACCCGGTTTTAAAGGGGACATATTATGCAAAAGAAAGTTTTTAATCATTTGATTGTGTAAATTTGGGACTGTGGAGGGCCTATCAGCATGCAAAGTGTGCAAAAAAAATGACTCAGTCATGTTTTTGTGGGCTGCTTCAGTCTGAATCCAGGAGATAAATCAGGAGGTTTCAGGAGTGGGTAGTTTCTGACGTCATTAGCTCTAGCTCATTATAATATTCCAGCCTTTCACCTGCATGTTGCCCCCCCCCCTCAGCTTACTCCCCTATCTGTGGCAGACGTCGTGGTAGCGTGAGCGTTAGCATGGTAGCGTTAGCATGGTAGCGTTAGCGTGCCGACGTGGGCACGCCTCCTGGAAGAAGTGGGTGGATTGCCTGTGTCTCATTTGCATTTAAAGAGACAGGCACTCCAAAGCGAGCGCTCTGAACGGGGCTGTTTTGGCAGGGGGACTGAACTGCTATTGGGCTTCATCCTTATGGGATTTTGACCA